AATAAATTAACTTTTCCACGACATTCTAATTTATTGAGATGCCCCCCCATCACAGCCTCTGCAGTCTGATCTTTTCATAGTCTTTATCAAACTGTCTGACTGAGGCAAGTAAAACACACTTTAACAGGTGGAGCATTTAAAAACATTATTGTAAGGAATACAATTTACCACTGGGAACACGATTGTATCATTTTGTAATTTTAGACATTACATAATGAGTGAGGAAAAGAGAGAGAAAGAAAGGCAATATCTAAGATCTCGGAGAGCTGCCAAACGGGTTTTTAAAAACATAGAAAAAAAACCCACAGAAATAAATCATCCAGAACACATCCCAGGGTGTCAGACTGACTCTGATGATGCATTAAGTTCTATGGAGGACCACCTGTCCACTGGAGCATCGTATACATGGGAAGAAAGTGACTGGGATGATGACTTTGTGGAAGACATGGACCTTGATGAAAATGACATGACTGACCAGGAAGACATGACTGACCATGAAGACAAATTATCACTGGCAACAGATCTGGCAACCTGGGCATCCCAATTCCAAGTCAAAAACAATGCTGTTGACCAGTTGTTAAAGGTCCTTCAGCAACACGGCCACACAGATTTCTCTCCCATTTTAAATTCTTATTCTCCAATGAAAAGTTAGGTTTTAGTAATTTTTTTAAATAAAATATCTAAAGGACTGATGATACAGATTAATTTTCACAGCCTTCTTTGATCATATTTACCAAGGGTATGAATAATTTTGAGCACAACTGTATATACAAATTGCACATACATATGTGACCCTGGACCACAAAACCAGTCATAAGGGTCAATTTTTCGAAATTGAGATTTAAACATCACCTGAAAGCTGAATAAATAAGCTTTCCATTGATGTATGTAATATTTGTTAGGATAAGATAATATTTGGCAGAGATACAACTCTGGAATAAAATCTGGAATCTGAGGATGCAAACAAATCTAAATATTGAGAAAATCACCTTTGAAGTTATCCAAATGAAGTTCTCAGCAATGCATATTACTAATCAAAACTTAAGTTATGATGTATTTACGGTAGGAAATTTGCTAAATGTCTTCATGGAACATGCTCTTTACTTAATATCCTAATGATTTTTGGCATAAAAGAAAAATTTATAATTTTGACCCATACAATGTATTTTTGGCTATTGCTACAAATATACCCCAGCGACTTAAGACTGGTCCAGGGTCACATTTATTCTAGAAGAAATGTGGAATAGGTGACATTTTCAATAAATTAACATTGCTTTTCTTTTCCTTAGCATGTACTATATTGTAGA